CACTCACTCTCACTCAAAGCGTACACAGAAGCAGACACACACTTATTTAACATTTATGGTGATACGTACACATACATTGTCATGACCACACAAACATACATGAATGTGGACGCGCACAAGCACACACACATGAACACACAGGTGCACACACATACATAATTACTTTCACGGACGCACATCCACCTTTACATACACTCACGCTTGGGTTATTTTTAGTGCGGTTGAAATTTTATTTTGTGAACGAAAAAAAGAAGAATTATAGGCTTTGAAGATGATATGGTAGAAATGTTAATTTATTTTATCAAATATACTGGAAGTAATGTTAGGAAAAATGATCTCCAAGATTCGCAACTCAATTGGTTTAGGAGAGAGAGAGAGAGAGAGAGAGAGAGAGAGAGAGAGAGAGAGAGAGAGAGAGAGAGAGAGAGAGAGAGAGAGAGAGAGAGAGAGAGAGATTCATTGTAAGAAGTTGAAGTCCCTTGACGTGGTTACTCGCCTGTATCGCCTCCGTGAATGTCCGCCATTTTTTTTTTCCTGTCTGCTTCCTCCGACTCCAGGAAAAATCGAGACTATTATCCTTAACCTCAAATACTCTTCCTATTCATCGACGGTTAGTTGTGATAAATAAACACATTTTACTTTTTTTTAAACCATACACAGGAAGACAAAAAGACCGATTTCTCGTCGTCGTGAGTCGTAGGAAATTCGAATCAGAAGTCTCGGCATTACACGGTCCGCAAAAGCCATGTTCGACTACCGTGATGAAGCAAGCTCTACACGCACGGTCCCTCGCCTCGACTGCCCTTCACTTCCCGCGCATATTTTTCTATGATATTTTTCTCGTAATGTAATTGATAAACTGATATTAATGATAGGGGAAAAAATAAATAAATAAAAGAAAAAAAAAATCTGAAAAAAAACTTTAAGCGGATTTTTCCCCTCATCATTTTTTTCCGTAATGTGATTGATGAAGATACAAGAATTGTAAGAAAATACAAAAGGACAAGAAAATGTATATCTATCTATCCGTCTGTAAATAAACATGCGTTATCTTCCCAAAGCAGCGATTGAGGGAGAACTATTACAAAATATTTCCCCCCCCACACCCATTTTTCGTGATGCAATGGATAAACTAAGATAACAAAAAGAGAAAGAAAATGTATATCTATCTGACCGTCCTGTAAGTACACGTTGTGCATTATCTTTCCTTAAGAAGCGATTGAGGGAGAGTTGTTATAAAGACAAGCGTAATGGATGCTCTCGACCCAGTGAACAAAGACCGCCTCCAGGCTTTTTTCCCAGTCTTGTGGTTGGACGTCCTGGTTAGTGAGTTTGTGTGCTTATTCTTTATTTTATTTTGACATCTTTGGTGCTTTTTCCTTCTCTCCCTCCCCCCCACACTCCCTCTTACACTAGCGGTCCCTCGTGAATGGAGTTGGGTGTTCGTCTTTTATTATTTTTTTGTGTGTGTATGAGGGCGTGAATGTAGATACAGTATGTGTATATATTACGTAAATGAACATATTCACGCTAGCAGATGGAGATGTACATGTTCATATGCATGTATACATACACACAGTCACTCACCCAATCACACACACACATACACACACACACACACACAGACACACACACACACACACACACACACACACACACACACACACACACACACACACACACACACACACACACACACACACACACATATAAATATATATATATGTATGTATATATATATATATATATATATATATATATATATATATATATATATATATATATATGAGGCTCAGGCAGCAAGGAGCACACCGCTAAGTCTTTGCGAAACGAGATTCCTTGACGTCTTAGTTTTATCTGGAAATTATCTTACGTTTTGGATTTCAAGATTTTCATATTTTTTAAGTGCCAAAAGACTCGTTTGTGATATTTATTTTGAGATTATCTAAGCTGTGTCGTTTTAGATTACACACACACACACGCACACACACACACACACACACACACACACACACACACACACACACACACACACACACACACACACACACACACACACACACACACACAGAAACAAACACACTCACACACACACACACAGAAACAAACACACACAGAAACAAACACACAAACACACACACAAACACACACACACACACACACACACACATACACACACACACACACACACACACACACAGAAACAAACACACTCACACACACACACACACAGAAACAAACACACACACACACACACAAACACACACACACACACACACACACACACGCGCACACACACACACACGTATATGTATTCATTAATGTGTTTAGAAAATACACCCTTTTCACGAGCATAGCTTTGCCTGTGCTGAATTAGGGCCATAATATATGCATCAAATCCATATTCAGATGTGCATTTGTTTACACGCATGTAAGTGTGCGTGTGCGTCTGCATGTGTGATTGCGTCATTGTGTTTATTCTTGTATTCACTGTATACGTTTTATTTTTCGTTATTAAGGAAGATTAATGGAAATATGAAAGAGGAAAAGAAATAATGGATGATTTGCAATGCACATTTTTTTCGTAATAAGCAACGATTGATTAAAAAAAAAAAAGAAGAAGAAAAAAATGTGGTGATAAAATAACAGAGATGAATAAGCAAAAAAAACGTTGATAAAAAAATATCGCTTATCTCTCAAAGAAACTCCGGATGGCACTGACTGGCACCCCAAGCTCGCCACTCATCTTGCATTCTGCGCCTGCACTGCAATCTGTACGTTGCACGCTCAGGTGAAAAAGCAAAGACAGTTCTATGCAATGCTGTGCGGTGTGGGGCGGGGGGGGGGTAAGGGAGGTGAGAGAGGAAGGAGAAGAAGAGTGAGGAAGAGAAAAAGAAGAAGAAGAAGAAGAGAAGAAGAAGAAGAAGAAGAAGAAGAAGAAGAAGAAGAAGAAGAAGAAGAAGAAGAAGAAGAAGAAGAAGAAGAAGAAGAAGAAGAAGAAGAAGAAGAAGAAGAAGGAAGAAAGAAAGAGAATAAGAAAAAACAAGATGATAAAGAAAGGGGGGAGAATGAAAAAAGAGGAAAGAAATGGCTTAGTTGTGGGAGAGGGGGGGGGGGAGGAAGGCTACATTGCTTAGTGTTGCAGACGACGCAACATCACCTTTAAGCTCCATGTGTAGTTGTGTAGAAATGGTGTCTTTAAACCTGTGTAAAGGTGAGTTATGTGTGTTGGAGAGGGGGAGGGAAAGAGGGAGAGAGGGAAGGGGAGTGGGAAAGAGAGAGAGAAAGAAGGGAGAGGGAGAGGGGAGAGGGAGAGGGAGAGGAAGAGGGAGAGAGGGAAGGGGAGTGGGGATGGGAGAGAGAGAGAGAAAGGGAGGAAGAGGGAGAGGGAGAGAGAAAGAGGGGGAGGGAAAGAGGGAGAGAGGGAAGGGGAGTGGGAAGGAGTGGGAGAGAAAGGGAAGGAGAGGGAGAGAAGTGAAAGAGAAAGGAAAATAGAGAGAAATAAAAGAGAAAATGGAGATAATACGCCTGTACCTCGTTCAGAAAAAAATAAACTGAAAAGAAGAGAATAAGAGAGACAGAGAGGAGAAGAGAAAACGAGAAGAGAAGAAGAGAAGAGAAAGAGAAAGCAAAAGAAATCACTGCATTATGACAATTTGAAGGCCGGTGTTTGAAGATCTTTGAACATTCATTGGCTTCGGCTCCTTATAAAAAAATATATATAAAATCAATGGAACTGCGCCTTAATTAATCCAACTTGCCTATTTCCTTCACCTAAATGATTGTGAAGAGCATAATTACAGAAGCCCTAATAATACACGAGGTTATCGCTGTCCGAACACCCGCATTCGAATGGGAAATGGCGGCCAAGTCAACATTACACGAAATCGAACAAGGTGATACGTGACAGAAAAAATGAAAACTGTTCGTTGTTTCGTTTTGTTTTATTTTTTAAAAACTTTACTTACTTATTATTAGAATTTTTTTTACTTATTTATTTATTTTCGTGACTGTTTTGTTAAATACGATGTCTGGGAACACTAAGAGACTATTGTGTTTATATATAATTTACATAATTCCTCTCCTTGTTAGACTTTACTGATTTGCATATACATGTTTTTTAAAATGAGCATTACATGTTATTGTCCTAAGGACCAATGTCGTATAAAAGCAGGTCCATTACAACTCGAGAATATCATGGTTAATGATAATTGTCTCTGTTGCAGGTGGACATACGGTCCAGTTTCCCCTAACAGACACATAAAGGCCTGAGGGGAAGTAAAAATCACAAAACTTATGTATATTAAGGTGAATTTCCCGTGGCGAGTTCAACATTAGAAGAGAAAAGGGAATTAATTCATGTATACAGGAACACCGGGGGGGGGGGGGGACAGGCGGGGGGGGTAGGTAGGCAGGTGGGGGGGAAGAGCGGAGAGCGATTTCCTTTTACTTCCAAGGGAAATTCACCCTTCGAATCGAGGGTTTAAGAGGCGATTTTCCCCTGCGGTGCGAAATGACAGGTGTTCGCGTGTTGTTAGGTGAGATTGGATGATCGGCGGGAATTATTTTCGAGGAGGGAGAATATTGATATGCCTGGATAGAACAGTCGCCCTCCTGCTTTTAAGTAGCGAGAAAAGGATATATATTTTTTAATTGAGTAGCTTTTTTATCGTTCTCAGTAAAGGGGAAAAAGTAGATACTAGGAACAGAAGGTCAGCCCATAAAACACCAATGTTAAAATTACACACACACACACACACACACACACACACACACACACACACACACACACACACACACACACACACACACACACACACACACACACACACACACATATATATACATATACACAAATATATACTTATAGACACAATGCAACTGCGCAAACCGATGTTGCTTTGTTTTGACAGGACTGCGACTGCGCGGGAAACACAACTCAGGTAATTACGGTTGATTTTCAAGCTTCAGCGGACGCGAGAGTAACCCCTATCGCGCAGGTGCATAAAGGTGAAAGTTGAGCTGCTCACGAAGGGTTATCGACCTTCACGCCCACGCTTGCAGGGTCAGAGGGTCAGTAGATGCGACGGACAAACGGTTTGCAACAACGGTAAAAAAAGGATGATAAACGGGGATGTACAATGGATGTCAGCGAATTGGAAATTGCGTAATAAAAAGGATAGATAGTGAAAAAAAGAAAAAAAAACGTGTGTGTGCGTGTTTGTTTGTTTGTTTCATGGTATGTTCCTTTTTTTATTTAATATATGCATGACGATATGCAAATACATGTTGATAAATGCAGTTTATGGCTATGGCGCTGAATTTATTAATATCCAGATAAGCAAAATTCTTAGAAAGAGAGGGAGAGAGAAAGAGGAAGGACGGGAAGTAGGAAAAGAGATAAAAATAAGAGAGAGGGAAAGAGGAGGCATAGGAAAAGGAAAAAAAATGAAAGTCAGAGAGGATGAGAGGGAGAAGGAAAGGGAGAGGGAGAGAGAGAGGGGGAGGGAAAGAGAGAGAGAAAGAGAGAGAGAGAGAGAGAGAGAGAGAGAGAGAGAGAGAGAAAGAGAGAGAGAAAGAGAGAGAGAGAGAGAGAGAGAGAAAGAGAGAGAGAAAGAGAGAGAGAGAGAGAGAGAGAGAGAGAGAGAGAGAGAGAGAGAGAGAGAGAGAGAGAGAGGAGAGAGAGAGAGAGAGAGAGAGAGAGAGAGAGAGAGAGAGAGAGAGAGAGGTATCAAGAAAATTACTTCAGCAGCTGTAGGAACATTTTATCCTCTAATGATGAAACCTAAATTATGACCACCAGGCTAAGGTCAATGACTTCACACATTCACGTCGTTGTACAAGGAAAATTATGCCTTAGAATACGATCACGCTACGCTCTCTCTCTCTCTCTCTCTCTCTCTCTCTCTCTCTCTCTCTCTCTCTCTCTCTCTCTCTCTCTCTCTCTCTCTCTCTCTCTCTCTCTCCTCTCTCATTCTCTCTCTCAGAGACACACACACACACATACACACATATACAGAGAGAGAGAGGAGAGAGAGAGAGAGAGAGAGAGAGAGAGAGAGAGAGAGAGAGAGAGCGGAAACGAGAGAAAGAGAGAGAGAAAGAGCGAGTGCGAGAGAGAGAAATGCCTTCACCTCCGCAGCAATTTCCGTCCCGACTGATCCTGGAAACATGTACGAGGTTAACCGCAGGGGAGCCGCGTGTTACCTCTCTCTCCTCTCTCTCCTGTCTCTCCTTTCTCTCTTCTCTCTCTTCTCTCTCCTCTCTCTCTCTCTCTCTCTCTCTCTCTCTCTCTCTCTCCTCTCTCTCCCCTCTCTCCTGTCTCTCTTCTCCCTCTTCTCTCTCTCTCTCCTATCTCTCTTTTCTCTCCTCTATCTCCTTTCTCTCTTCTCTCTCCTCTCCCTCCTCTCTCTCTTCTCTCTCCTCTCCCTCCTCTTTCTCCTGTCTCTCCTCTCTCTCTTCTCTCTCCTCTCTCTCTTCTCTTCTTTATTTCACATCCTTCTCTCTTCTCTCTCCCATTCTCTCCTTTCTTTCCCTCCCTTCCTTGCTCTATATTTATCCCTTATCCTCCCTTATTCTCCATTGACTTCCATTTCTGGTTCTTTGTTGTTTATATTTCTATTTTTCCCCCTTCATCCAAATTCCATTGTTTCTCTCCCTCCGTTCCTTTCTTCTTCTTTTTTTTTAGCTTTTGTGTTTTTTTCTTCTTCTCTTTTAAACCAATCTCGCGAACAAACGGTAAAGATTAAGGAGGAAGTAAAAGAAAGGAAGAAAGAAACAGAAATAAAGAATGAGAGAAAGAAAGAGAGAGAGAGAGAAAGAGAGAGAAAGAAGTAGGAAATGGGAAAAGATTTTTAAAAAATGGGGAAAGGAATAAATAAAGAATAAAGAAAGGAATAAATAAAGAATAAAGAAAGGAATAGACGAAACTAAACGAACGGTAAAAATGAAATAGATAAGAGAAAGGGGAAACAAGAAAAGAATATATTTTCTTTTTTTGCGAATATATTGATGATAAAAGATAAAAAAATTCGCCATTTATGTTGTCGGCTATTTTTAGCTTTGAATTGGTGATTTGAAAGTGAATGTGAGGGAGGGGGGGTAGGGGAGAGGGAGAGGGAGAGGGAGAGGGGAGGGAGAGGGAGTTTGGAGGGAGAGTAGGAGAGAAAGGGGAGGGGAAAAAAAAATAAAGAGAAAAATAGAGATACAGATGAAGGCATACATACATAGATACATACTTTCATACATACATGCATACATACATACATACATACATACATGCATGCATGCATACATACATATATACATACATACATACATACATATATATATATATATATATATATATATATATATATATATATATATATATATATAGAGAGAGAGAGAGAGAGAGAGAGAGAGAGAGAGAGAGAGAGAGAGAGAGAGAGAGAGAGAGAGAAACAGGCAGGCAGAAAAGACAGACCTACACAGGAAAACGTACGCTTTAAACACAGGAAAAAAAACATCAACAAAATACTGATAAACCGATAACGTAACTCCTAACATTAACTACGCCATCGACCGCTAGATGTCACTCTCAGACACCCGAAACACAGTAAAAGAAAAAAAAAAAAAAATCACAGAATAATACATTGTCTTTGAAGCAACGTTACGAGTCCATAGTCATCTTCTGTCTACAGTCTGTGACGTAACGTAACAACAGATGGACGTAATAAAAACAAAAACAAAAAGACAAAGATAACATAGTGTGCGGTGCTGTTTTTGCCACCGGAAACTCGGTTCACAAAGGGAGGTGATCGAGAGAGAGGATTCTCTGCACGCCCCGCTCTCTTGGTGCTGTCTGTGTCTTTCTCTGTCTGTTTGTGTCTTTCTCTGTCTGTCTGTCTGTCTGGTTGTCTGTTTGGTTGTCTCTGCCTCTGTTTCTGTTTCTCTCTGTCTGGTTGTCTGTTTGGTTGTCTCTGTTTCTGTTTCTCTCCGTCTGCCTGTCTGTCTGACTCTCTCTCTCTCTCTCTCTTTCTTTCTCTCTTTCTCTCCCTCACCCCCATCACCTCCCTTCATATTGCTCCTCCCTCCTCCCTCTTCCCTCCCTTCGCCCTTGTCCATCGCCGCTTCCTCTTTCTCCCTTTCTTCTCCCTTATCCCTTGCTCCCCCACTTCCTTTATAGCATCTCTGCCTAACACCTGCCAGAGGAAATGGAAAGGGGGGGAGGGGGGTCTGGGACTGGGAGGGAAGGAGGGAGGGGAGGGAGGGGAGGGGGAGGGGGTGGAGATGGGGATGGGGGAGTGGGAGGGGGAGTGGGAGGGAGAGGGGGAGAAGCAGAAAGAGAAGGAATGGTAGGGAGAAGAAGAAGAAGAAGCAGCAGCAGAAGAAGAAGAAGAAGAAGAAGAAGAAGAAAAAGGTGAAGAAGAAGAAGAAAAAACAGAAGAAGGAGAGGGAGAGAGAAAGGGAGATGGAGAGGGAGAGGAGGAGAAGAAGGGTGAATCGACGGGGGGGGGGAGATATATATTCACCATGCGGGCCGCCTTTTCATAGGCATAACATAGGCCAAGTGTAGATGACGGTAGATAGGATAATCAACGAGGGGGGGGAGGGGTAGAGGTAGGGGGTAGATAGGTAATTACTATTGCGTCGATAGAGGTACCAGTAGATTATCTCTTAAATATGAAGAGTATATTTTGATCTGAGGAATTATTAATTTTATTTAAACTTCTGTCTGTTTATTTATATCTATCTATCTACCTGTCTATCTATCTATTTATATGAGCTTTCTTTAACCTTGTGTATCGTTATCTTTACGAAGACTTATATTTAATGAGGAGATAAGATTCGTGATGTAGAAATAATGGGAAGAAAAGTTGCTTTGTGAAATTAATTCGCTGCGATTTAAAAACTGCAGTGAGGAAAGATAAACAAAGCCAGCTTCATGTTTTGTTTTGATTTCGTGATATATTTTCCTGCTCCTCTGCCTCCTCGTCTTTCTCTTTCTCCTCCTTCTTCCTCCATCTCCTCCTCCTTCTCGTCCTCCTCCTCCTCCTACGCCCCCCCCCCTCTCTCTCTCTCTCACTCACACACACACACACACACACACACACACACACACACACACACACACACACACACACACACACACACACACACACACACACACACACACAAACACACACACACACACACACACACACACACACACACACACACACACACACAACCTCCCTCCCTCCACATACATGCAAACCCACAAACATATATATACGTATAAATATGTGTGTTCGTTCGCTTGTATAGCCGTGCCCCTCACTATGTGTTCATCCGTGCCTGTGTATTTTTCGTGGTAAAAAACAAACAAACAAACAAACAAAAACGTATAGAGACAAGGGTACGTTTCGTTAGCGTCCGAAATTTCTTTTACAATAGCGGAAAGGAGAAAACGTTGGTGAATTTTCTTAAGGTGATGTAACATTTAGACTCACTCCCCCACCCCACCCCTGTCTTCTATTTCATCTTTTCCTTCTCCTGCATATCTTTCTCTCCCTTTGTCTCTTTCTCTTTTTCTTTCTTTCTTTCTGTCTCTGTCTGTCTGTCGGTCTGTCTGTCTGTCTGTCTGTCTGTCTCTCCCTCTGTCTCTCTCGTTCTCTCTCAACCTTTCTATCTTCCTTTCCTCCTTCATTTCTTCCCCCTCTTCTTCCCTTAGTTTCTTCCCTATTTCTTCTCCTCTTCCCCATCCTCCATTTATCTACTTTCCCTTGTCCCCTACACCTCTCTCTTCACGATTCCTTCATAATTCTCTCTTTCCCTCTCTTCCTCCCCCTCTTCTTTTCCTAAGACATTCTTCAACGCCCCGCCCCCCCTTTCCTTCATCTACTTTCCTTCTACTTTCCCCTCATTCCCTTCCCTCTACCTTTCTTTAACCCCCCCTTCCCTCTCCCTTTTCATTACCCGCTCTTCAATGCCCCCCCCCCCCCCCGTGCATTCCTTTAAGCCCCCTTCAAAGCTCTCCCTTTTACCTTACCTCTCCCCCCCCCATTCAACCCCTACCTTTCCTTCCTTCCCTCCGTCCTCACCCCAACTATCCTCCTTCCTTCTCTTCTCCCCCAACTACCTTCCCTTCCCCCTTCTCCCCACCTACCTACCCTCCCCCCTTCTCCCCAACTACCTTCCCTCCCCCCCTCTCCCCAAATACCTTCTCCCCTTCCCCCCGTCTCCCCAACTACCTTCCCTCCCCCCCTCTCCCCAAATACCTTCTCCCCCCCTCTCCCCAAATACCTTCTCCCCTTCCCCCGTCTCTCCAACTACCTTCCCTCCCCCCCTCTCCCCAAATACCTTCTCCCCCCCTCTCCCCAAATACCTTCTCCCCTTCCCCCGTCTCTCCAACTACCTTCCCTCCCCCCCTCTCCCCAAATACCTTCTCCCCCCCTCCTCTCCCGAGCCAAGCCGGCGCCATTACCCCATCAACTCCGAAAAATCTGTTATCATTGTCTTGTATCGATCGAGAGGCGGCCGTTCGTTTCGGAGGAGGAGGATGCCGGTCGGAGCCGCTTCTTTCGCCCTCTGCGCTCTCTCTCTCTCTCTCTCTCTCTCTGTCTCTCTCTCTCTCCCTTTTTCTCGTTCATTTTCTCTCCTTCTCTCTCTATAGCGTTCTCTCTCTCTCGGTTTTTCTCTCTTTCTTTCTCGTTCTCATGTTCTTTGTCCCTCTCTCTTTCTGCCTTTCTTTTTTATCTCCTTCTTCGTTTACTTCTTCTCCCTCTCCTTCTCCCTCCCTCCCTCCCTCCCTCCCTCCCCCCTCTTCGCCATCTCTCTTCCTCCTTCTTCTGTCCTCCTCTCGTTCGTCTTTTGTCATTCCGGGTATCTGAGACGGCT